CATTGCAAAAAAAGATTAATTGGCTACCACTGATAATTGATTAATTTTAAATTGTTTTTTTTATTATGCATCAGCTGCTTTGACAGGTAATAAGTGACTAGTTTAACCTAATTCAGCTAAATTATGTTAACACACTTGAAATAAGTTTGGACAAATGCTGCATATGAGTGTAATATACTTACTAGTTTAATTTACCTTACCTTAACAAGAAATTAGTTGCTTGTTCTCAAAACAAATGTTTTTTCATACTATTGGAGTTAATAAATCTTTAAAGAAATCAGTTTCTTCAGTTGTTAAACTAACTCATCAGGGTTTACAGTGTGGCTTGTAGAATGGGGTCTCTAAAACAGTTTTCACCGGGAAATTGCTCATCTGTTAAAATACTTAAAGGTGAGGTTCACATTTTTTCTTAATCTTTTAGAAAACAGTAGTCACAGGTTCGCAAACAGCTTTTAATTGCTGTTATAATTCCTCCTGTAAAACCTGATGAGTTAGTTCAACTCAAACTCAAACCAATTACCTTAAACTGTAAGTTTATTAACTCAAACAATTCAAGCATGAAAAAATTTAATTGTTACTGCTGTAATTAAATTAACAATAGCCTACTTGTACTTGTACAGCGCCTTTGTAGTCTTTTGACCACTCAAAGCACTTTTACACTACGTGCCACACTCACCCTTTCACACACATTCACTCAGATGATGGCAAAGTCCCTCGAACAGAAACTAACATTCATACACATTCACACACCGACACACAGTATCAGGAGCAATTTGGGGTTCAGTATCTTGCTCAAGGATACTTTGACATGTGACACCAGGAGCCGGGGATCGAACCCACAACCTTCCAATTAAGGGAAAATTGGGGGACCAATAAGAATTATTTGGAAGCATATGATGATTTATAAACTGAAATAAAACAAAAATGTATCCTATATTCCTACACTATACTGCATTATAGCACTGACCATGGTCAGTGGGGCTTACATTTATGTAATGATCTTACATCTTAAAGAAATTAGTCAATGGAAGAAACTAGGATTATATCACCATTTCTCGAAATACTGTACATTTATTGGAATATTCAGTTTTATGTGTTATGTTAAATAACTTATTTTAAGGATATGTTGTTAGGTTTTACATTGTTGTGAAGCCATCCCTTTCTAACCTGATTCAAAAGTACTGTACATGATGAGGGACAAAATCCAGGGCCATAGTTGTGTGTAAAAAGTGATTTTAAAGTTCTGCTGATGCTAATATGAGATGTGGTCTCTACCAACTCTCTGTTGAAAACACCTGCCTGCTGTGGCTGGAAATTTGATGTTGAGAGCGAACCAAAGCAGTACAGTTTCAGACCATAAAACCAAAATATTGAGCTGAAAGATGGTAAAATGCTCTGTAAAGCAGAGCGTCTGCACAGTCACGTGATATTTCTGTTTGTCATTAGAGCGACTCCTTTCACATACAAGTCATTTCCTCATTGCCTTATTCCCTTGTTAATTAAAAAAAAACTGTATTGATTATTGCGGCTTCATTCATAGAGCCGGATCAGAAAACACTGGTATTGTTTTTGTAACAGGGTTATTTATTTTGTTGTTTAGGTGAGACTGAGGACACTGAAAGCAGTTCTGGTAAGGGAATGTTTTTTCAGGTACAAGTATTCTTGTGTAAGTCCAGTTTGGGTGATTGATTGATTTGAAGGTTTATCCAACACCGAGTGATGGTGTTAGCTATTCCCCAGGTCGAGGCTGAAGACCAAAGGTGACAGGGCTTTTGCCCTGAGGGCTCCAACTCTTTGGAAGAGCCGAACTCAGAAAATTCTCTGCCCTCTTTTAATTTGTCTCTCAAGACTCATTTTTACGGTGTGGCCTTTCCTTAACTGTTTTATATGTGTTACTGATTTTATCTGTTCTTTTAATTTCTATTTCTATACTATTAACAGTGACAATAGTTTTGTGTCAAGCCCTATAATAAACCTGCCCTGGGGTATTAAAACCTATAACCCATCTTTTACATTCTTGTCTTCTTCTTTTACAGTTGATCTTGGCTTATTGGCTGCGCATTTTCGACTCGTCCGTAGCAGGAAACAATGGCAGCTTGCCTACAGCTAAACAGTAGACTAAAATATGTTTCTGAAATGATTTAAAGTGAAAAATAGTTAACACAGTAACAGAATCTTGATTCATATTAGATCAGCACGGCCTAGTTTGACAGTTTGATCTGAGTTTGGTGCGTTGAGCTGGACGGACTCACTGAGAGTGACCTGTCATTCACAAGGTAGCCCCGCCCTAAATCATACCCTGCTTTATCATCTATTTTACTCTAAATGGGACCATCATTTACTAAATGAACATCATGCTGTATGGAAGAAGACTGAAACTAGAGATTGAGACCATGAAGTCATTAAATAACTTTTTACTGAGCTAATAAATCAAGAGAGAAGTCAGCTCATTTCTCCATTAGAGTGAATGGCATCAGTATTTTATTGCAGCCAATGGAGCTCCCCCTGTTGGCCTTTACATAGAATGCAGGTTTTAAGACACTTTGAGTTAGCTTCACTTTACAGACCTGGAAGCTCTGTCCATTATATATACTGTCGATGGCTACAATGTTACAGTGTGTTCACATTGTTATTACATAGTAGATAGAGGAAGGAAGCTCCAGGGTCCGGTTGCACACTGTGGTAGTTGTCAAAACTTTCACTATGCTAGTGCTAATGCTCTCTGTACTGACCATCAACATATATAAAGATGGACAACATAATAGCTCGAAACATCTTGAGCGCCCTCTGGTGGCTGACTGCAGTATAGGTCATAAATCCTGCCGCCTCCATGTTAGCAGATAAGCCAAACTAAAAAATGAAAATAAACAATAATACATTTTTCCTAAAGATGGTTTCTGTCTTAAGTGTTTTTTTTGATCAGTCTGGTTTTAATAAGTTATTAGAAGCTATAAAAAGGAGGCTGTGGTCATGATTGACAGCTGAGCCCTGCTCGCGATTGAGTCAGCCGGGCATATGGGCAGGACTTCTATACCATGGCGCCAACCCCGATCGCTACTGCACAGACTCTGGCTCTGAATGATGTCATCTGCGCAAGATAGCAGCTTTTGGTTTTTGATTTTTATACAGTGGGAGGAAGTGGAGACACATCGTCCATCTTTTATATGTCTATGGCACTGACAGTACGCTCTGCACTGGAGGTTTCAGGTTTCTTTGCTGGTGATTGGCTTTATTTGAATTGTTACATAATCTAGCTCAGATTTTAGGGAAGTGTGCAGACAGCTCCCCCTTCAGTAGAGGAATGTGAAAACACCTCTTTAGTGGCAAACTTTGCACAGGACGGGATCTTTAAGTATTAAATTCACTGAACATTGAACCCTGCTGGCCTGAAGTGAACCACTGTATACAGCAACAACCTGACTCTTTATTAATAACAAAATACACTAGTAAATGATTTATTACCCGTTGTGCTGCAGTGGCTAATGCCATCCCATGATAAATGAAATCACCCCTTGTAGCTACAGTATGAGATAGATTATTACGTTTAAATTTTATCCCACTTGGTGCTCTTACTGCTCAGACTGGGCCACTGCCTACTCTGCTCCTTTGACCAGAACACAAAGTCGTTTGTGGAATAATAGCAGAATGTTCTCATGCAAGCTTTTTATTAGATCATTTGAGTGATTTTTCTCCCACATATGAAAGCTTTTGCTACCTTGTGGTTATAAATATAACCTCATCACATGTTGCCTACCCCCAGCTAGGGGCGTTTCCAGAGGGTAGGACTGATTGGCTACCCCAAGTGCCACCCCATTATCCTTACCTGTTCCACTCCACACTGTCTTTGTTGTTGTAGTGATCTTTGTTTGAAAGATAGTGGTATCATATAAAACTAGATGACATAATGCATCCATTGGTACCAACCATGCTGTGCTACCATTTTGGGAAGGGAGCTAAATAACGCTCCAAAGTTAGGCTAAATGTTTTTGAAGGAATCCCTTGACCTCTGACTCTGACCGAGATATCTGAATGAAAATGGGTTCCCTCTCCCCTTCGCAGACATGCCCACTTTATGCTAATCCCATGCAGTTTTGGGCAAAAAACACGCCATTTTTTGCATGTGGTATAAATATTTTCATTATTTTAGTCCAGTGTATTTGAATATGTCCGCAAACTGGGGTCCAAAAACAGTATTGGAATTGAATAAATTGGAAATCAATGGAAAGCTGAGACACATACTTCATGCCACCCCTGCATCAGTCAATGCCCCACTTGTGGCCCCCCAGTCAAAAAAATGTCTGGAAACACCCCCTATACGGCCTCTGCAATTAAAATTCCTCCTACCAGAAAATGTGGCTGAAGGAGGAGAAAGTTAGCAGAGGTAGACAATAACAGATATTTAATAAGTGCTGCTGCAAAAAGATGGACCTTTTTTAAAGAGGGTCAGAAAAACAATGCAAGTATGCAATTAGACACAAGCGTACAAGCTGGTGTGAAAACAATACAATGTATCTTGTGCAGCAAAACTCCCACAGGAGTGATTACCGTCTACTCCCCGGGAGTAGAATCCACATTTCAGAAGTTGAAACCCCGCGGTCGAGCGCCCTGTTGGGTTCTTTTATGGTAGCTGGCTGAAAAGGTGGGCGAGCGTTTGGGTGGGCATCTCCCTGCGAGTTAAATCACAGGCTAGAGCAGTAAGCAGTGGGTGACAGGAAAACGAGGGATGTTAAACCAATATTTAGACCGCTAACTCTGTAATCTGTAAATACGTCAAAATGAAGCAGGGCCTGAGAGGGTTCACACACACAGACGTCTTGCTCTTTATGTGTATCAGGGAACAAAGATCATGTTAACTGCCTAGTGTTTTTTTTCTTTTTGTTTAGTGCTCTAAATATTCTCATGAATCAAAACTACGTCCTGTGCCTGGATGTGTTTGCACAGTGTAAACATGATATAGAACTTTCACATCACAAAAGTCAAAATCAAAATTCAAATCAAAATCACCTTTACATGTTTTAATTATTAAAATTGGTCTATTGAAACACAATAGATTATGACAACAAAGTGTACAAATGAAATAGAAATATTCCCTATTTTCTGTCACTTGCTCTGGAAGATCCATTAAAAAAAGCAATTGAGAAAAGAATATTAATGAGCAACAAACTTCACGATGAACAATCAGAACATTCAATATAACATGGTTGTTTTTCTTTTGCTAGACATCTTCACATTAGAAACGAGCGACTCCATTTGCGTGTTTTAGTACAAAACAGAGAGCTGAAATTGTTTCACAGTTTCTTCAAAATCCTTCACATAAAATTGAAAGAGACCTTAACTGCTGAGTTTTTTTATTCTCTCTTTCTCATTTTCTTCAAAATTGTCCTCTTCCTTGAAAAAGTTTATCAGTAAACGACATTGGCTCTGTCACTTTGGGACTCCAAAGTCATCGGCCGTGTGTCCTCGGTGTGATTTCTCTCTTAACGTGGGCAAGACAGTTTTGGCAGTGCTTGCCATGCTCTTGTTTGTGACAGAATCCCCCAAGGTCACAAAAATACACAAGCAATTTTCTAAGAGTTGTCGGCTGAAGTCAAGTATGTGCATGGCCACCAGCTGATACACTAGCCTTATTCAGAAAGTTTGCCAAATCTACAGTATATGCAGAAGCAACTGTTATTGTCAGGTTGTTCTTTAAGCTACTCTCTGAGGCCACACAAAATAAAAATTGAATAAATATGCAAACTTTCAACACTAGAATGCAAACATATGAAAAATCTAATATACATACTATATGTGCAGTCTGTATACACTGGTTTCCTACAGTTTTTTTTTTTTTTTGCTTATGGGATAAGAAAAAAACATGTTTCAAAAGTCATGCTCGAAAAAGGTTTGCTGCAGCAATGAGTCAAGTGTTGCACTCATGAGGAAGAGACATGCCGAGTGTTGTTCGACCTGAGAACCTATGAGTCATTTAAAAAGGCGTGAATGATGTCCCAGCAGTAGAAGCCAACATAAACAGTCACTTCTGCAGATATTTGGACAGCATCACACCCTTTTTTTCCCCCTTTGACTCCTCACTCTTATTTTAGGAAGTGAAATGACACATTAACTGTAAAGTTAAAGTGCAGACTTGTCAGTTGAAAAGTGAGACCTACTTTGAGTCACATGAAACGAACAGTTAAAAAAAACCTATAGCCCCTTTTCGTAACTCATTTCTTGCTGCCAAAATATTTGGACAGATTACATTCAATTAAAGGTTATATATAGAGAAACATTAATATAGCAAACAACAACAATTTGCTATGTAAAGTTATAGTGGAGTCATTGTGTCCTGAGCTGACAATGTCGTTACACTACTCCCTCCGCTCTCTGTGCTTTGTTTCCATAGCCGGTCTGCTCCCTGTGCAGCTGAGGAGAGTGACTGAAACTGCTTTTATCATCTACATTGGTGAATTAAGGATTTAAACCAGAATCAAACCAGAGTTGGTGATTGTTGGAAGAGTGGTAAGACTAACAAAGATGTTTTTGGTGACATTTTTTTTGTTTTTATTTTTTTTAGTAAAAACAGTTAGCGTATTTTTGTATGGAGTCTGGTAGTGAGCGACAGCAGAATTACGGTTGTTTCTGGTTAAAGAAAATGTAACATTTCTGTAGGGACCCTTTCCTTAGTGTTGTCAGATAGAATAACAATCTGAGTCTGTCAGTGGCCAAAACAAGCCCTTTGAATGGAGTAACAATGTTATACATTACGGATATTCTGAGAGGTAAAATTAGCATGGAGTATGGCAAGGTATATTATGATATCAAGAATATTTTCACATCTGACTCAGTGAGTTGAGGTTTAATTTGACAGACCAGAGTTGGTGATTGTTGGAAAGACTGTGAAAAGTTTTATTTTGTTTCCGTCCCATTGTTTTGGTTTGAGATGCTGGTGCTCTAGTGCAACACCAAGTGGCAAGTGGATACCGTATATATAACCTTTAAGTAGTTGTTTTTCACAAGTCAAAACTTTTCACTGTGCAAAGATTTTTTGGATCCTTGTGCAACAACTCAACACTCCTCATTGTCCCGTCTAGCATTTCCTTTTTCACTTCACTTTAACCTGAATTCAAAACAGCTTGAAAATGTCACGGCTCTCTGAAAGCACCGGACATAATCACCTACCTTGTTTCTGTCGCTCTAACAGTACTCAATTTAAAACCGGCAGTCATCTTTTCAACCTTTTAGTTCCTGTGCCATTTCCTCCCACAGATAACAGGCTGAAGAGTAAAGATGTAAAATGTGCTACTATCCAAATATTTCAAGAGCTCACTGCATGAAAACATACTATAGTCAAATGAAACAACACATATTCATCAGTAAACTATTATTCATCCTCTATAATCATGATCATGGTGTGTCCAATTAGACTCCATGGTGGCTCTGCACAAGAGTCTCTGATGAATTTGGAGAAATACGCCCTTAAATGCTCTCAAGAGTCACTTAGCATTTGAGTCGTCCTAGTTGAGTTTGAATATAGCCGGACTGAGGGGGACAACTGAGGTCAAAGTTCATACTCTTCTATTCCACTACTCCAGTTCCTCTCTGTGCTCCATGCTCAGATCTCTCCTCCCCCCTCCTCCTATGCTGGACATTTGCCTCCCCCTGTCATTTTCCTCCTCCCCGTCCTCCTCCTCCTCTTCCTCTTCCATTCCTTCCTCCTCTTCTTCCTCCTCCTCCTCCTCGTCCTCCTCCTCGGTGCCGTCCATGGAGTCGTCCGCTCCCAGCATGGCTTGCTGCATGGCCAGGGTGGCTGAGTCCGACGACAGCGACTGGAGGCTGTCCATGCTCAGTGGGTCTGAGGGGAGGCAGGGAAACAGAGCAGAAAAACTATAAATGGAACATTCTAGCAAAAATTCAGACATCTGCATTCATCTGGACAGTATTTATGTAGTATTTAGAAAGTATTTAGTCTGCTTTCAGACAACCGAGGTATGTATTAGCTCTAGAATGAAATCTATACTGAAGAATATCTCAATACAGGGACAAACATCTCGGACTAAAATGGGACCTGACATGAAAAAGCACACATTTCCCTTTGTATTATTGTTGCCCAATTAGACCATTTTCACAGCAGTAACATGAAATAGTAGGGTAAACATAGGTGTTACCAATGATACTGATGGCTGCTATTGTGCATATTGACTAGCTGGAAAGGCTCTGCTACACTAAATTGACCGAAACTTAAATCGTGTCATTATATGCTGTAAAAGGGCCTATTCTCAAGAGAGTTGGACTAGTTTTAAACAGATGCAACTTTCAATTTGAGTCTTTGTTTTTGCCTTCACATCTCAGATCAATCAAATAAGAGAGTCAATAGTGGCACCTAGTGGTTAAGATTGGAACACACAGGACAACATTTTTAGTCCCCCTCCAGTCAAAAATCTGTGCTCATTGAAAATCTGATTTTAAGGGGCGGGGCCTACCAGCATGATTTGTGACATCACAAATAGTTAGGAAGTCAGTCCTGCTCCAGTATGCAACTTGTACAGTGTGATGTAGAAACTTGAAGCCACCAGTGCACATCCAGTGTAGAGTAGATTATTTTTTTAAGGATTTGAATTTGGAATTGTTTTAGCAGCAAGAACATATCAGACACACATAATTGTTCCAAGCAGACTATCTGTATATGTCTGATTACATGTCTGGAGGGGATCTTGTATGTATTTTAAATAACAAGTACAATTTCGGAACTGTTGAAAAAAAGCTATGTGGTATGTGTTTGTGTTTTTAATTTTTCAGGAAATGTTAGTGCTGGCGTACTGTCTGAGTTGTTTCCTGTTTGAGATCTGTGTGTCTGCAGGACTCCAGCCACAATGGAGTCGGGCCAGAAGCGCTGAGTTGGACGGTGCTGGGACTTCATCTTCTTGGCTTTAGGTGCCGGGTCTGGGTTACTGGCATCCAACATAGGCTGGAGGATGCGCCGGCGAGCGTTGATGAACCTGTGAGAATGAGAAAGGGACACAGGCTGAGGAAGGGGGATAGAGATATCCGTGATTTTAGAAAACCTACACTACCTGTAAGACTACAGAGTTACTGTTATAGATTATCAGTATTATTGAAAGGGGGTAAAATAGTTTGTAATTGGACAGATCAGGAGGAGAAATGTTGGGAAGTGTGAATGCACAATGTGAGCTCAACAAATCGGTTTAATTTGGCCTCAGGTGTACTTAATGTATACAACCACGAGATGGCGCCACAGTGTCAGCAAAGTGCACAGGAGCTCCAAGCTCAAAGTAAGCAAAGCTTCCAGTCACATTTCCACTACAGTAATATGAAGTGGTGTCGTCCTGTCTACATGTACACACGGGGACAGCATCTTACCAGTTGTTCACCTGTAAAAGGGTTAGATTTGTTTGTGCTGCAATCTGCCTCTTCTCGTCTTCTGTTGGGTATGGGTGCTGAAAGAAGAAAGAATTCATTGTGTTTGACGTGTTAAAACCAACAGGTGAAACCTCTAAACACTGAACTTTCCTACTCTCTGACCATTCACTAAACCTCCACTCAACCAGTTTATTCCCCAATCTCCATTTTCAGATGAATGTGCACTCTAGACCTCCTTCCTCTGCCTCACCATGAGATGCTGAAAGAGCCAAGAGCGCATGATGTTGGTGGCGTGTTTGGGCAGGACCCCCCTCTTGTTCTTGGACTTCTTGTCTTCGCTGTCCAACAGGGACGAAAGGTCCACGTTCACCTTCACAATAAACACCAGGGAGGGAGGAGAAAGGAGGGAAAGAAAATGAAAAAAGGAGCGAATGGTCGGGCTTAGTTATTGTTGCCACGGAAACAAAGGGAGACTACCAATTACCTATCTTTTTTTCAGTGGCAAGGGCAGAAACACCTCCTCAAGTGTCACCATGGTAACTGAATATGAGTAATGATACTTAAAGTATAAAAAAGCAGCACCATTGACAATGTGGAAACACAAGAGGGTCAGCAGTGCGTTTGGTGCTTCGGCAGGGAGTTTGAAGAGCGTAAGGTCGGGCATTCCTTCAGTCAAAAGTTTGGAATTCAGTTTGGTGCTGAATTAGTGAAGAGCTGGTGTGAAGTGTGCCTGTGTTTGGCTTACTTTTTCATCTGTGTTGACCTAAGCCCGTCTTTGTGTTGAGTGAAAAATCATTATTCAGATGTTATTGTTTGGAGTGCGAGTGCTGAAGGACGAGACGCTCTCGGTATTGACAGTCTCTGACAGCCTGCGGTGTGCATATGGATGTGTGTGTGGCCCATGTGTTTGAGTCTAGCTAAGTCGTACTTGTGAGAGCTGGCTCTTGAGAGTCAGCTATTCTTGTGAAGACAGTTAGGGTTGTGATGGTCATCAAGGCATTTTTGACTATTTCTGTGGTTGCAGTTGAGGTTAACTTGAGGTAACTAAATGGTATGCGTGTTCTGGTTAAGAGTACATACTAGGTAATTGTAAGGATCCAGGGTGTTAACACTCCGGTGTGTAACATTCAGTAACATTCTATTGTCAGAAATGGAATATAATATTCAACTGAATATAAGAATCGTTGTGATTTTGTTATCTTAGAATGAGCTGTTTTTATCTACAGAGGGAGTGGGGCCTCCTCTATGGAAGACGTTCACAACCACCATAGTTTCTCCTAGATGCTTGTAAGGCTGAGCAGTATTCAGTTAGTTGCACCACTAGACACTACACACTAGTCCTTTAAAGGATAAGTCTGGTGATATTCTATATTTTTCTTATTATCAACAAACAAACAACCCAAAACCAAGCATAAATGTATGTACTAACAAGTACAGTGTGTATCAAAACCTGATATATCTTCTTCCTCAGTGCCACAGAGCTCCATTGTTGTCTAAAAGCTATTAAAAACACATGAATGAGCCACACTGTTGCCCTGGGTGACATGTCCCTTGATTACCATGAATACACACACTGTAATTTATTTTGACTCAATCCCACAAACGCCGTCCTGCTGCCCCAAATACTGACTAGACAGTCCCTCCAGGAAGTTGTATTGTTGCGATTACAACAGTTAACGCAAATTCAACCAATCTCTGAGAATTCTGAGCAACCTTGCAATTTTGTCATTGTAATTTCCCAATAGTTTCACCAATCGTAGCAAGCCTTGTGCAAAATGTTATGCCATGTGTCACCAAACAATTTTATTCTCACTGAACTATTTTTGCAATTTTCACTTTCTCGTGTAATTTCATTGCAAAAAAATGAAATTCAGTCCCCCATGGCAAACCATTAAATGGATGTGTTATAATGATATGTTAAAATATATAACGAGTTATGTAATTGAGATACACAAAAAGGTAACTATAATCCATCACAGTTATTAAAAAAAGATTACAGTGACATATAGTAGAAATTACGATTATTCAGCACTTGTATATATGTGATACTTAAATTAGGTTACTGACTAATTTTTTTTAACAGGTAATTAGTGATTGTATCATTAAGCAACCCTCCCAGCCCTGCCCAGATTCCCCTGGAAGAATGCAAGTTGATACCATTTTTCCTCAGTCAAACAAAAGACTGTGTCTATGTGCCTACACCATAGTACAGTATGTGTGTGTTTGTTTCATTGTGGAGATAAATGTGTGTCGGTGTGTGCTCTGAGGCAGATAATATGAAACACAATGGGCTCTCAATAGCAACCATTACCAAACCCTCTTTGACACTATCTGCAAAGAGCTATACTCTGAATAGAAACATATGCCACATAAGAATGTACACTCATACTGATGCAATGAATCACACACTGCCTGCATATTCATAAATATGTAATATTTAATATGAGACAAGTCTTTTTAACCTGTCATTGTCATTGTACCAAGCAGTGCCAGCGACTCTGAGCCTTTTTACGCAATTTTTCTGAATAAGGTGCCCATTTGTGAAAGCTAAAAATACTTCAGAGGGCTGCGTACTTTCAAATTTCATATGCATAAGCATGCAGGACAAAATGCATTCATTAATAAAAAAATGCAAGTCTGCTAAAAGAATATAAAATTGATTAATTTCATGCAGAGAATAGTAGTGGAAAGAATTCTGGCTGTCTTGGAGATAAATAACAGACAAACTCTCCTTAACACACAATGCCCATACACACTCAGATCCCCCCTCACACCCACACAAAACAAGACTCATTACAGTTGCAGCTGGGTGTCACGTGGCTAACCCTCCTCTTATCCCCCCTCAGCCCTGGGAGTGCGTGTGTTCCGGGGGAAAGCGAGGTTGAATTAATTGGCGGCACCGAGCTCAAGAGTGTGATTACTCGGGGCTTGTCGGAAAAGCAGCGACGGGGCTGTGTTCAATTCCCAGCCCACATGTAGCACTCTAGCCTCAGCCGGGTCACGGCTATTCACCGAGGCCTCCTCTGACTGTCAAGCACAGAATTACCTGCCTGAAACTGAGCCGCTCTTCAGGCCACTGCTGCTGCACTTGCAGTTTTTATTTATATCCACAGGCAAATGTTGAGACTGCCAAGGCCAGACAAAGACTGGCCTCTGCAGTGATGCATTAAATCGACGGAGCCTGGTGCTTTTCTAAGTCATGCATCTTGAGAAAAAAGAGCAGTGATTATTAATTTGAATCATAAAAATCATTTTAAATTCCAGCTAAGTTGAATCAGTAATTCTAAATCCTAATTACCCACCCACTTGGTGTGTAGTTTTGTGGTTCAAAAACTAGTCACACAGTAATTTTTATCCTTGTATCAAATAGACTCCCTCTATAAAGAGCAGACATGTAAATGTTTCTTTTTCAACAACTGGATTATCTTTTGTTGCATATTTCAATAGAGCATTATCAATTTACCTTGTGGCTCAATAAAAATGCTAGTTCTTATATTAATAAACAAAACAAAAGACCATTGAAGCCCCCCTCCAGTCAACAATCAGTGTTTCTTCCTGTCCCTACAGTGTGATGTTTGAATGCTGTCTGTGCAGAGTTTGACACTAGAAGGATGTTTTCACATTCATCTGCTGAAAGTGGAAAGTTTCTGGCATGAACATGGCTGTTCAACATGGCGACCTCCGTAGAAGAGGGCCGCTCTCCCCGTAGATAAATACAGCTCATTGTAAGGTAACAAAATCACAACAATTCTTATTTTCAGGTGATTATACACTGACAATGACTTTTACTCTTACTGAATTGAGTTCTTGTGTGTTTTCATGTTCTGCCAACTTCAACTTCCATGTAGAATATTTTGTCTGCTCTATATGTGTGGGTCTACTGTTTTGCCTATTGTCTGGTGTTGTGTTGACTCTGTTTCAATGAGTCAGCACCAATCATTCAGAATCCCTGTGCTTCCTTCTTTTAGAAAGCATTAGAAATAGCCTTCTAATGACTCTGAAGACAACAAACCCTGCATCATACATACGAATGCACAATGAAATTGTTCTCTCGTTCTATTATATTCACAGAACAAAAAGTCCTGTTGCAAAATGTTCTAACATGTGATGGTTAGATTATATTTTCAGCTGTGATGACATGTTAAGGGTGTAGCTTGACTAAATTAGTAAGCAAGTCAAAGTAAGCCAATGTCATATCAACTCTAACAAATGTAACATTTACAGCTTTACTAAGCTGGGTCAGACAGACAGCAGTCTTTGGCTCTAACATGTTTTGTCCCATTTCATTACTACAGTTTGAATCCACCCTCTTTGAAACTAGAGACTCTCTGGAGGTGTCAGTTCTGGAGTTGACTAAAACAATCTCTTCTATTGTATGGTGTAACTTTGCAGCTAATTTTTATCTCATATTGTGTTACTTGTTAATCAACTACTCTTTGTGCCTTTGCAATTGCCCCTTGGGGACAAATAAAGCAATCTGAATTGAAAATTAAATGAGTAAAGTTAAATGGATTTGTAATTGATTACTAGGAACAGGTATGAGGCTCATTCATCTGCAACCTAACAATCAAAGATGGAGGATACAGTGAGTGTCAGAAATATCAGGCTCTCCAAGTACAACCATTGTGACCGATACAGCAGTGTATGTCGACCCTATTCGGCTATAGACAGTTCACGCAGGAGGCAGCTTTATTCCTAATTAGAAGATTATTTATTGTATTGATTACTGTTGTTGAATCCTGAACGGAGCCGGTTCAAGAACCAGAGCTAATCTGGTGGAAAAGGGGGGTCCTCCTGGTCCAGATTTCTATTTCCAGTTATTCCTGTTTGGAGCCACGATTGCAATGTGGCAGTGTTTTTTAATCATTCATTGTACCTCTACTCACTATCTTACCATCATGTGCTACGTGCATGAACGTGACTACGTGATATTGAAACAAAATATCACAGGGAATGCAAAACTTCTTTTAAACTACATTTCAGTATTTCATAGTTTATACTGTGTAGTATTTTGATAGTTTTATATGTTTTACAATGAATTAATTACATTTAAAAACAATATTTCAGAGTTTCCTGCGTACCACCAGTGGTACTATAGTTTGATTAACAAAATCCAATTTGTGTTTTCAAGCAGTCATGTGGGTTTGACTGTTTCCTGGAAGGAGCTTAAACATTTGTGTTCATAATATTTCCTGTCCATAATGAATCCACATTACTTTGGTCTCTTTCTTCCCTCAAAGTGTGAGCTCCTTTACAGAGGCCAAGTTTGTAAAAAGGTTGAGTAAGAATGAAGTGTATTAACTTTCATTTCTTGTATCTGTTGTAAATCACATTATCAAAAATATCTGATCTACAGTAGAAATGAAGTTAGTCTTTAGTGCATTTCCTAACATCACTTAATTCGAACCTGACAGGATCATAAAAGCGCCCTGAACATCCATGGGAATAAACAATTTCCATTTTGTCTGTCAGCAGGGGGGCTGTGTTCAGACAGAAACAATGAAAAGGCGCCTAGGGGGCCTTCTGTGAGATGTAAAGAGGCCCTTCTAACAATAACAAATTGGGTGTTGGTAGTGCAGAGAGGGAGCGAATGTGTCGGCCAAGGCATCAGCGGTCGGACAGCTTTACCTGTGAGTTCTGGATCTGGATGGTTCCCGGCGGCAGTGCCTGCGTTAACACTTGCCCTTGCGATGTCACCATGGCAACCGGCTGGTACAGGGTCCCACCTGAGGGGATAATTTGCCGTCATGAGTATCAAGTGGCTTCAGCAGCTACTGGCAGCCACATCCCACACTGCCACCAGAGCCTTATTAACTTCTTGTCAGCCCCGCAAACAAAAACATGACAAACAAGAGACAAAATGATTAAATTCAAGGTGCATTAATGTCCTTTAACCCGGGAAAAAAAGAAGAGTGTGTTTTTGCTGCTGGCTTAATTAGTCTTGATCAAGACACTCTCATCACAGTCTGTTTGAGCTCTTCAGTGTGTAGTGATCAAAGGCAGAGACATTGATTTATTTTGGGTTAAAAGGGATTTCCAGAGGGCAGGATTAACATTTCACTGTACAGGCTTGACATTATGAGAACCTATCAGCCAAGCACCCTGTGAAGAATATTATCATGGCTCTCTGGTACACACATACACAAAAGTCAGTTGCTAGAGATGTCTATTGAAAGAGAACTTTAAAATAATTGCATTTATATGTTACATTTTATCGTAGAAATGTGTGTACTTTATGTGTGTGTGTGCAGTGATATGGTGATGGAAAACATGCTAACCATACTGATTATTCTTCATGTTATGCTTGTATGTATTTGACAATATGGGTAATTAATACAAAATCATCAAGTTGATGTTACATACTGTAGCAGTAAACTGCTTGAAATTATCCATGCCTCAGTTATCAGTTTGTCAGTCTCCTGAAGAATATAATTATAATCAGAATAGCCTTTATTTATATAGCACTTTTCTAAATGCAGTGCTTTACAGTAAAAAAAAAAGAAACTACAAAAATTGCTTAAATATTAAGGCAACAAGGCAGGAGAGAAGACTATGAATAAATAAAGATAATTAAAAATATATTACTTTCAATAAATCCAAATTAAATATTTGGTATTTGAGCTGTGCAGTAGCATTTTGGAAAGGTTAAAGCAAGAAACTATGGTGTCTTATGGCTCAGACCTAAATTAAGAGAATTGCAGTTGTCCAAACTAAAAGAGATAAAAGCACAGAGTTTTTTGACAGTAAGTTTCCTCAGCTGGAGAAAGCATTGCCAAAAAAAAAAAAAAGACTGGAGTCCAATATCACTTCCCAGTTTCATGCACTGTCCTTTTTTTAAAAAGATAAATGAATCTTTACAGGAAGGGTGAAAGACCGTAGGCCAAATGATCTCTAATTTAGGCTGGTGGAGTTGTAAACAATGTGAAATCCAGCTCTTAGTTTCCAAGAGGCATGACAACATCTGAGACACATACGCTGTGTCAGCTGGTCTACCACCAGGGACGTACACCTGTGTTTTCCCCCTGACCAAGTCATACACATGCCGGTCCACTGTGGCACTGTCACATTTTGCCTCACCACATGCTCTTTCCATGGAGAGATTGGAAAAAAGTCACATTACGTATCTGACAAGTCAACACTGACTTTGGGTTTCACACAGGACCCAAACTGCAGTCTGCTGGGTGAAAGTCCTGTGTCGGTTTGACCTATCCATCAACCCTGACTCCTTCCCTATGCAGACCTTTTCAGTCTTTGTACTGCACCTTCATATAGGCATGTACTTTTCACGTCTAGGCGAGGCAAAATGTGACATGGTATCCTCTAGTGGATCGGTGGGTCTATTACACGCTTTGGTGGGACACTGTGACTTGTTTGTAGTATTACAGTTCTGAATGCAATTTTAAAATGTTGTCCATTGGAAAAAAGGCTTCAGCAAATTTAGACATAATGTATTCCTGTTTACAGATAATACTGGGCAGGTGTAGATTTTACTATTAAATTCAAATTACTAATAAAATTACCCCTAACCAATACTGAAAAGTTCAGAAAACTAATAAAAAATGAGTATAGTATGTGTATGTGTCAGGGCCCTTGTGTTTTGATGTTTGTTTGTGTAATCACATGCTTACCTGATACCACTTGAGAGTTGATTGTAGTCATGGCGACATTGCCCTGTTGCAGACCCCCGGCAGGCACCACAATTCCTGAAGGGTTAACAGAGCTGGAGACAGAGGTCATGGATGGAGAGGAGGTCTGAATTAGTTCCTGGGGGATCACAGAGAGACACTAGTGAGCAAAGATAAAGAGGTAGCTCTACTGTTTGTGACTGAAAAACTCCCAACAGCAAACTCTACCTGCTGATAAATGCGACAAGGTGTATCTTGGCTACTCACTACTGCTAGAGAAGGATACTATCAAGGATCCATAGAGAGTGAATGACTGACCTGCTGCATGTTGAGACTGGTGTGTGATGGAGAATAGGGTCCTCCGAGGTCATTACGCAGGAGGTTGTCGCTGTGCATCTTGGTCTTGAGGCAGGTGATGTAACGGTTGCAGAAATCTTTACAGAGCTCATTGACCTTCTCTAACTCCAATAGGTGGATCCGCAACACCTGAATGGCCTTTACCATCTGAAGGAAGCAGAGACAAACCATAAACAGATCACCTTCACAGAAGACTACAAAACTGAATCCCCATTGAATCATTGTGTCGTTGCCATCTTAGAATGAGCTGTTTTTAACTACAGACGCTACAGGTCACCTTCCATAAAGTCTGCCATGTTGAACCGCCATGTTTCTACAGTAGCCAGAAGGGGTTAGGGCTCTAGATAAGGCCAATTTAATGCCACTAAATCCTACACACTGCACTTTTAAGCATAACTTTAATTCTCCTTGTTAAAAGGGAAACAAGACTATCAGTCTCCAGCCCTGCTAACAGCTCTGCGAGGCTGTACTTAGGCATAGCGCTGCTTTTAGCTAAATGCTAACTTAATGCTCACAATCACACAAAGTGTTAACATGTTGTTGATTACAGCAGCAGATACTGTTTACATTATTAACCATCTCAGTTTAGTGTTGCAGCACGTTTGCTAATTAGCACTAAACTTTCCTGGCAATCCATCCAAAAGTTGATATTTCAGTCTGAGACAAAGTTATGAACTGACCAACCGACCAACCGACATTTGGTCTTAAAAATATTGGCTATTTTAAAGCAGTAGTCCAGTGACTATGGCACTTCCATTAAGCTGCAGGACTTTTGAGAGGCAGATTAAAAAAATAATGGTCAAAAGCTGAGGCGATGATATTCTGACTTTTAATGTCTAGTATGGGCCAAGCTCCAAAAACCCTGGATCTTACATCGCCGATAATGCAGCTAGATATCATCTTTCATAAGACCTCTCCTTCCCAAGCCCCCAGGAAGTGCATGTGGCGGGCTTTGAAGCCAATTTGACACAGTGGCCAAACCGTTTAATTACAATTCATGTGATGCACAGGGGCCCAAAAAGACTTTTCCCCATAAGCTTACATTGTGAAAGAAGCGGTTATAAAATGGGGTATAAAATGTTTGGAAATTTAAATATTTAAATTGTATCCATGTTTAAGTTAGCGGAGTGCTAAACCTAAAGTTAACGGTTTGACCGAGAGAAGTGTGCATACTCTATGGGTGTGGCAGTGGCCCACATGTGTTTATCTGGGTTTCTAACTTTCATAGGACAGAACAGTGACCCTCCTTACAGCGCTGTATCCTGCCTCCTTAACGCCTACTCCTTTAAACCCAACACCTCCACTTTGTAATGCAGTTTTTTCTGTTAAAATGGAAGTCCAAACTGGTCTGCTCCTCGAACCCATATTTGGCCACATTAAAATGAACACAACAAGTGAGATGAGGTGTTTACAGGTCGTTTTTACAGGGTGAGATGCGATGAGGAGGGACATGCAGGGATTTCTCTTATTGATGAGCAGAGCATTCAACTTTAATGTTTATTCCAGAGATGCATATAGATTGCAAGTATACTGGGGGGGCTGTTATCCTTTCATCCTTCTTTCTCCCATAGCCTGAAATCAACCGATGGAGCCTTTAATATGCAATGCTGAGAGGTAAAGCTTCGCCGCAGTCTTTCGGGCTACAACATTTAAAAATATGTTATGTCTAGTTTAGTTTTAGCTTTGTCTGTTCTGTTCTGGTCAGTTCATTCATTTTCATTAGCAGAACAATGTCGTTCTAGCTCACATTAAATGGATCTTTTCTCTCTTCTTAAAGCCAAATAGGGGCTTGAAGAGGTTAGCATGTAAGATTTTATTGCTCACAGTAATAAAATAATCTAAGCTCAATTGTACATTTGCCACTAGAGGTGCACAATTCATCGACTGAACATCGGTATCGGAGAATTTTTGCCTTGTTGACTGACGTGAGCTTATTGGTAAATAAGATGGCATCCACCGATATCAGGGGCCAGTTTATCTGTTGTGTTACTTTTTGCGCTGGCTAAATGCTGTGTTGGTTATTTCTAACTCGGATATTGGAGAAATAATCACCTCCATTTTCCAGCACTGACACAAATTGCATTTCTCTGTGTCTCTGGCACAAAAGGGCGAATAAGTAACACATCTGTTATCAGCCAAATTGTTATTTTATAATCCCATTTTATATACCTTTAAGAGCTTTCAACAGCATCTCAGGGTCTCAGGGCTAATGTAGACTGTAACAGTGTGCAGGCAAAAGCTCTGAAAAGCTAGTAAGCATACCTTTAATCTTAGATATTTTGTTACATGTGTTCCCAAATGTCAAGAATGAACATCCATTCTAAAGTTCAAAAAAGTGAAACTAAAACTTTTTTCCAAGCTATATGTAAGGTTATACAACAAACCATTACTTGAACAGCAGTAAGCTAGGCTACTGTTGTTGCAGCTTTTAGCTTAGCAGTAGCAAAACCTGTACATTGTACTAACAAGACTGAGAAGAAATACTAATATATTGGGGAGGACAATGACACTGATGTACAAATGTCTGCTATTTAACAGGGATATAATTGATAGTTGTGTTGCTAGGAAACAGCTTGGGCCTGCTTTATTTCCTTGCAGCTATTCATAATGGCAATAAAATAACCTGAACGTTTGAAACCGTGAAAAGATCGGAATCATTCAGCTAATGTACAGTATTGGTGTCATTCTGCAGTTATCTGACCATCAATAGCCTGGCTTTGCTCCACTCTGTGCAGCGTGCTGTAGTGCACTCTCTCAAAGTCACAACTCAAGGTCAACAGAATGGACAGAAAAGTGCTTGGCCAAGGAGGAGATAAATCAGCTAATTAAACCGCGCTCACTTAATCAAGGGACCAGTAACTCTCTGCCCATCGCAGCCAGTCAGGCCCAGTGTAACATTACTGCCTCGTGGAAGAGTTAGTGCCCTCTGGGAGGGATGCCCGCACCCGGTGCCTCATAAAACACACAGATGCAGGGTTAATTGACTGTTCAGCACTTGTCGGCCGGCCGTCCCAAGTACTGTAAAGGCAAGAGTGCACTTTTTTCTTCTTGTCTCTGTCTTTGTCTGTGTCTGCTGCTTCGACTCCTCCCCCTCTTTTCTCTGTGAACATGATCAGCATCATCCTTCTCTTAATTTGCAATTACTGTTAGCTGTTGTGCAAGGGGACGTGCAGGGGGAGTGTGAGGAAGATTACATGAAAAAGGAGGGAATGATTAGGAGCAGTAATGACAGGATGCACTGCAAACAGACAAACATCCATTCCAACATCTTTTTCTCATCTCTTTTTCTTCTATTAAGTTGAGCAGATTACATAAACTAACTATCACAGCATTGGTAAAAACATGTAATCGAAGAAGCACCACAATGCAGTGACTCCTGAAAGTGGCTAAAGCCCATCTCTTTGTGTTAATGTATGTCACAGCACTTACCAAGTTGTCCAGCTCTGGATCTTCACTAAAGAAGGGCTTGTGTTCTCGCTCCTGCTGATGCACAAAGTTTTCAATGTCCACATCAAAGCTGGCTGACGTGATGCATTCAGATCCCTGTGTGGCCTGCTCACATTTCTCAAACAGCAACGCCAGCAGTGGGAACAATGGATGTCTGAGGAGAAAGACAAAGAAAAAGGCACAGTATGTGTCAGTCTGTATAGATGCTGTCTCTTATTAGGTCTTATATTATTGATTGTGTACTAGAAGTGAATGTTGGTGCATCAAGTCAGATCTGGAGCTTTGGAATCCTCATTTCACTGCCCATGAGAAGATAATTAAAGGTGCTGTAAGTCTTGTTGTTTTTTTGTTAAATAGCTCTATATTCTGACATCCATCACTGATATAGAGTGTTCAGTCAGTAACATGGTCTCCCAGTCCCTTCTTTCAGCACTAAACAAAGAACACATTTTCTGGTATCCCGGTCCTTATCCAATCAGGAGAGAGAACTACACAAAGAGGCGGTCCTCAAGGGCAGGCAGCAGAATTTCAGTGTGGTGACATGGGGAGAAGGGAGGGGACTGCTAACTGCAACTGCTAAAATGGAGTTAGCCAAAATACTGATTTCCCTTGCAGCAAGTTTAATGCACTGTAGGAGTTGCAATGCATTCTACTGGTGTAGCCACTAACTTGCTGCCTCTTTTTTTTTACCCTGGTTATTTTCCCAGAAAGCCTTTCCACAGCCCCAGAGTAGGTGGGTATTCAGACATATAGCCAACCTCTTTTGTAATGGACTGGTGACACTGTCTTTGTTTGGCCAGTTACCTTGGAGGATAAGACAAACAGACCTGGGAATGTAAGATAGTACCGGTTTGTACAATGGATTTTTCATTGTAAGCAGCATTAACTATTTTACATCATCCTGTTTCCATCAGCACATAAGTAAAGAATAGTGTTTCAAATGAACACAAGAGTCCCAGAACACATCAATAAATGATAAGGGCACTGCAAAAACGTATTTAAAAAGCTTGATGTACATGCAGTTATACTGTTTATACAGCTTTTGAAAGATTATAACAGAAAAATCAGTATCAGCTGATTTGATACGTTCATTGTAGCCTAGAATTCTGAAAGCCTTGGTGAAAGTTGTAGAGTATTAACATGTACACATGTAATTGTATGCACAACTGTGTACATTTTCTGCCAGTAGTATTCATTAGTCTGCTGGAAAAATAGCCATATCTCACCGTTTTGTCGTTTTTAACTGTAGCAATATTGTCTCTATACGGATGCTCAGTCTGCTAACACAAAAAGAAGTGTGTGTTCAGTACATGGCAACAGCAGCTGCTTCGAGTTTGATCAAAATGTGTTTTCTGCTCTCCTGTAAAATCTGATATAATGCACTTGTGCACCATAGCAAGACTCCAAGCCCTCGTAATGTAAATAACATGGCTTCCTGTGAAGCGTGAAAGAACAACCACATCAACAGCACAATAGACCACCAACTTGTCATGGATCAAGTTGTAACTGTCCAAGAGGACTAATATTCAGTGACCATGAGTGACAGCATGTTGATGCATCTTTGTGTTCTTTTTAATCAAACAATTTGAAAAACATTCTCCTTGACAGTACGTATCAGATACACTCTTTATGATCATTGGGAGTGTTGAGTGTTTTCAGTTGCTCTGATGGATACACGTTCTGTCCATCATGACGTTCTGTCATTCTGGTGAGAATGTTGACCTATTATGTTAAGGACTTTGGTGTTAGTGGTCGGAAGACTAGAAAAGGCCTTATGCAAGACTAATGCAGTCCATTTACCATAACATTTGTATTAAAATGTAAGCCTCACGACAGTGTATGTCACCCATGCAGTCTTTTTACTGCACATACGCAAAGACGCATCAATGGACTCTCAACAGAGTGACTACATGGAAAAATGGAGCTCTACGCCAAAACCCTTCTCCCCCCTGCACTGCACTTTTAATAGTGTGGCAGCTCCATGACATTCCCTAAAGGACATGCTGAACATACGGACAAGGTTCAGCTAGAGATCAAAAAAAGATCTTTAAGTGGATAGGATATGGTCCAGTGGCAGCGCTAGGCTTCACCGTGTCACCTACATTGTTACCATCTGCCTTTTATAGGGAATGTCACTCGCATAAGATCCCCCAGATACACTGTGCAATGGTCCATACTGCACTGCTGTATGTAGTACATGCCAAATTATTGAGCATCTCCACTTGGAAGAAAGCTGCTGCCCTAATGGCCAGGGAGGCAGAACACTACAATGCAATGAATCCTGAGAGGAACTTGAACAGGAGACTGAGAATAAAAAGTTTGTGTCCCAAAGAGCTACATTTCATAGTGCCGTTCTCTGTTCCGTCCGTGTCCTTACTCCATCCAGACTCTGGACGCTGCCTCTTCCGTCCTTTTACGCGCTGTCCTTTGTGTTACCTTTGACTTAGCGGAAACCCAGGGGAAAGTTCTCAAAATATGTCCCTGTCAAATTCATTATGATAAGGATTCTTGGCAGTATGTTATATAAGCCCTGTAAGCTGCTTACTAGTGGCATATTTCATTATTTCCACATCCAGTGGCTTTAGCCGTAAAGGACATGCAGGAAGCTTTTTTCAAGGAAGGAAGCCAAATTTATTAGTGATGTTTTTAACATTTAAACCAGCAAAAAGCAATGATGTAGACAATTAAGAATGAATTGTTTATATAGTAATTTCAGGATTTCAAACACAACACAATGTCATTCTGAGACTGCCCACAGCTTAAAGGCATATCCAGGACTGTGTCTTCACTATTAATGACAATATGTAATTTGTGCCGTGAGGTAGTTAAATAACCACCATTGCAGGCACAAAATCAAGGTTTATTCACATTTGCAGACTTCCTCCCACTCTCCGCAGTGTTACTTGGAAGTTATTGTGACTAGAGGCAAGTAAAAAACGTGTTACCTGAATATAATGACAGGTTTCTCTGGGTTTGAACATTGTTGGAAACATTTGGAGTAATGTGAGTACAGAACTCAACAAAATATATAACATGGGTCCAGTCTTGAGACACTTTAATGCAGAAATGTTGCATATTATACTTTTAAATCTCAAATGTATCCGACTGTACATTTTTTTGTTTGTAAAGGCTCGGTAGGTCATGTATTTCTGAAGCTTTTTTTTGTTACATTTGTTGAAATTCTCTTTACATCCTGACAGAAATCACTAAAATGGGTATTTGTAGCAGTCACAGTTCAATGCTTTTGTTGTGTACAGAGAGGGGTTCCAGAGTCAAATGTTCAAATCTACATGGAATAGTGGAGGAAAATAAAGCAGGAACATTCACTTACTTTGCGTTAATTCTTGAAGCCACTGGGGACAAAACGTTTTTTTTAATTTCAGTTGGAAACTAACTTTTCGGGTTCCGAACCTATTTATTGGTCAAAATGCTCAAAACTAGGTGCACGAACTGTAACAAAGCCGGTTCCCTGTTGGTGGTAAAGGCCTATGTGAAGAAGTACTTAGGCACAGTGTTGCTTTGAGCTAAATGCTAATGTCAGTATGCTAACATATTCAGAATTACACTGCTAACATGCTTAACTTTAGGAACTGTAATTGTCACATTTTAGTTTAAAGCTCCTACAGGGAACTGTCATTTTGTGTTGATTCTGGCGCCCCCTGCAGTGGCAGTGTTTCTACTACCTTGTTTCATTCATTTCAATGGGAATCTGACCAAATCAGAGCCAGTGGCAGGCATTAAGAATAACTACATAGTAATAGCCAATCTTCTTCCTGATGGTCTTTTTTCTTATAGGTCATATAGAGGCATCAGTATTTTCACCAGCATTTAAAAACTCCTTGTAGTACGTTTAAGTTATGAAATTTAAGTTTTTAAAGACATAGACTGTTTTTGGGTGATGTTTTATTCACATCTAGAGATATTAAGGGTGAATTCACACCTAGCCTCAGTTTTTAGCTATTGTGAAAGCGGTCAATCAAACTCAGGTCCGGACTAAACAACCAGACAGATATGACATGTTGGGTATGACATAAAAGCAGACCAACCACAGCACTTAGATACTGGACTTATCTACTGAACTTCAACTATCTAGGAAGTGTTCTAAGAGGCATCCATTTATTCAAGATAGATTGGTGACCAGGGGAACACATATGCGGTATTCCCTAAAACATCAGAAAGTTAAACCACAGGTTTGTAGTCCCTGTGTTTTTCTCCATGTTTTTTTTAGCAGTTCCCCAATAAAAAATAAGTGAAATGTTGGGACCATTTCATATCCCCCTTTTTAATTATCCCCCTGTAAAATTACAGTACAAGACACCTCTTTGTTTGTACCTGTTTGTCACTATTTATGATAAAGGAGGTCTGGTTGAAGTCATGACTGTTAATTTTTACAACCAGTCATTTCTTGGTGAGCTCTTTGTGACACCAGAGTAGATAAACACAGTGTTGCTTGAGTGGTGAAAGTCAGAGGAATTTTGGTTTGTTTGCAATAAATGAATAGAACCGCATCAGTACTTTTTTCCTTGGTCCAAACCAAATTACAAGTACAAGTATGTGCCATCTACCCTTAAGGGGAAGGTGTAGGCAGCTCACTTGCACACCTGTAGTTCAGTTCCAGGCATAGATATGTGAGTGTGGAGGAGGGTGTTGCTAAAATCTAGACCAATCAATCCTGGATAAATAAATAAAGGTAAAATACATTTAATATAATACATGTACTGGGTAGAATTGATTTTTGGTAATTATTTGCTTCATTATGATTTACTGGAGGTCACATTTTTCTCACATTTTTATTTTGTTGTGGACAAGCATGCATGTGGTGAGTGTATATTGCAGGAGGCTGCAACTGCCATGGAGGCAGACTGGGTCCCTGCTCAGGCTCTAACCCATGGCTCTCATTTGCAGCCTTTAATAGTCGTCTATATTATACTCTAATCTGCCTGATCCCAATTTAATGCCGCTCCCTCAGCCAGACGTGGCAGGAATACTAAACAGGAGGGTCACGTGCTGAGTGGAGAGCCTCTGCCTTGTCTGTTTAATGTCTGCTTGTGGTGGGGTGGAGGAGAATCTGGGTGGGGGTGAAGGAGAGGAGAGTGGGCTGGGTGGGCTGTAACTGAGAGCAAACAGGGTGACTCTCAGCGCTGCAGATGGCGT